CCCCCAGACTTGAATAGTGTGAATTCAGAGAGGCTTCTGAGTCTCACTTATGCCTTATTTTATTTCTACCCTGAGCTGTTAGCAGACAGCAGCTTCCTTAGTTCCTGAGCTGGTGGGAAGAGTTTATTTAGGCTCTCTTACACTGACAGGACCATTTCCAAATCCAGCCTTTATGCAGAAATCTGTGTTTTAGTTAGAGTCCAAGCCCATACCTCCTGTCCCTCTATTGGCATGAAAACCCCAGCTAGTAGGGCCTCTATCTGGGACCAGTCAAACCCTGCCTGCTGACTCATGATCTTGCCATCTAGCTCTGAGTTACAGTTTATATTTTATCACTTGGGGATTAGGGGTTTCTTCTTTAGATCTTGGATTTAAAAAATAATAATGTTGTTCTGCTACATCTTGTTTGTTTTATCCCCCATGTCTTTTCCGGTGGAGGTGGGATGGGGGTTAGATCAGTCTGTTACATTGCCAAAACTGGAAGTCCTTGGAGTAGTTATTAAGGACAAGCTCATCTTCTAAAGGGAGCAAAGGTGTTTGAGTTGGGGCAGTTCACACATCCAGGTGGGTGCTTTGCTTTCTTCTCAAGGCATGGTGTTTCTGGTCTAGCCAAGCCACTGTATGCATGTGGCTGGGAGAGGATGTTCCACAGTTTAGAAAGAGCCTCCTCTGGGGGCTCAAGTTGCTCCCACAGGAGGGCCCCTGATATAACTCTCTTCTTTCCCACATCCATTCCTGTCAGATTTCAATACTCATGAGAAATCAGAGAACATTGCTGGATTGCAATGGAGTCTCAAACCACCTGAAAAGGATTGTGATTTCTCTATTCCTTGAGAGTACAGACATAAGGGAGCCAAGTACAGAAAATCCTAACTACTTAAATCAGGGTTAGAGCCATCAGAAATATCCCACTAAACCCATAATCTGTGTTAATGATCATAATTAAGAGGACCTGCCCATTCTCATTAACATCGTCTCCATCATGAGCTTAACAGAATCAAGCCCACAAGGGAGCCCGATTTCTCATGTGAGGGAAGCAGTAGAGGGACTGTTACTTAAGGCCTTCTGAGAACTGGAAGTCCCCCCAAGTGTCCTTAGCAATCGCATCTGCATCTGCTAGATTTGGCACGGTGATGCCTCAGCCAGCTAGTCAGCCAGCCGCAGATGCTGGCCAGCTTTCAGAATAACCCTAAAAACTACAAGTACTCCAGGCAATATGGAAGCTCTCATTTCTCATGATGGGAAATGCAAGCAAGTTTCTTCCCTCAGAGCACCTCCAGGGCCCAGACTTAATTCTCAATGTGCTGCAACACCAGGCTATTCTGATATATCTTTGGCTGGCTAACTAGCCAGATGAAGCATCGCCATGCCAAATCTAATAGATTCAGATGAGACTGCTAAGAAGAAGAGCATCAAAATAACCATCTCCTTCGAATAGCCCTAAAAACAAATGGTCTGGTTATGTGAAGACCAGACATGAAAGGATATAGCCCTTTTCCCTGGTCTCCTAACTACCCAGATGTAAAAAAATATATATGCATAAAGAGTTTCACACTCTCTGGACAGAAGTAATGTCATTCACTTCTGAAATGAAAATAGAACTGGCTCCAGCTGCAATCTAACAGATTGTCAGGAAATGGATCCTTCATCATCTACCATTCCCTATCTCCCTCTTTCTCTAAGAACCCCATGGCTAATACAGTCCCAGAAGTCTGTCAAACAGCCTTTCTTACAAAGAGAGGAGACATGGCATGGTGCTCGTGCTTTTGATACAGAGACAGCAATGGTGTCTATGTCTTTGAATCTCTATGTCTCTAGTGATACAGCCCCAGTGAGGTAGTGGCTACGATAATCTAGTCCCTGCTCAAGCTAGCAGAGGCCTATGAAGGAGTGCCACTCTGAGCAACACAGCCACTCAGTGTGGCCTCAGACACTAAGGCCTGTTGCCTGGGCCCCGGGACCTTATCTTTCCATTCAATCGCTGGGGACCCTCTCTGAGGCCTACTTAGAAGAAGTGATTGCATTTACTCCCAATCCCTGAAATTTTCTCCAGGGCCAGGATGCTGCTCACTTCTAACTTCCTGAAGCCCAAGGGTCCATTCTGACTCCTTCTGCTTCAATAGTTTGAGCACCACCAGGAAAGGTCTGTATTTTCAGGGCAAAAAGAAAGTCATCCACCCTCCTTTTTTTTTTTTTTTTTTTTTTATTTTTTAATTTTTTTTTTTCAACGTTTATTTATTTTTGGGACAGAGAGAGACAGAGCATGAACGGGGGAGGGGCAGAGAGAGAGGGAGACACAGTGAATGCAGGCTCCAGGCTCCGTAGCCATCAGCCCAGAGCCCCATGACAGGGGCTCGAGACTCTGACCGCGAGATCGTGACCTGGCTGAAGTCGGACGCTTAACCGACTGCGCCACCCAGGCGCCCCTATCCACCCTCCTAGGAAGGAGGAGTTCCAAACTTTAGGAACACAAAAGCCTATCTGCTACCCTGGCAGTGTAGTCAGGGCAATATCTTTTATTCCTTCGGGATGAGTTTCCACTTTCTTCCCCAGCAGAGTAAGGGGGACTTTAAAAAAAAAACAATTTGGTTATTTATTTTGGAGAGAGAGAGACAGAGTGCGAGCAGGGCAGGGGCCAAGAGAGAGGGAGACACAGAATCCGAAACAGGCTCCAGACCCTGAGCTGTCCACACAGGGCCCGACACAGGGCTCAAACCCATGAACCCGTGAGATCATGACCTGAGCCAAAGTCGGACGCTTAACCAACTGAGGCACCCAGGTGCCTGGAGAAAAGCAGACTTTTATTATAGCAGGGACACATACACAACATGCAAATGACATGTTCTCTTTTTCTTCAGTTTTTAAAACAATTTTAGGCATCACTATTGCTAAAATGTATTAAGACACTTATCTGTTACCTTTGACAAGTTCTGATGAATATATTCTACTTTTTCGTCTTTTTATGGCTCAGTTATCCTGTTCTGCCATCATACAGGAAGGCACACCATGAAGCAGGGGATGGGATACAGAGTGAGCACTGTGGTTATCTACACTCAGACCCAAACTGCTAAAATCTTTTAAGTTTTATTCTGCTTGTCACAGCTTTTTTCTCTCGTCAGGCCACTGGCTAGTTCTTATCTGCTGTCAGTGGGTGAGTTTTCTTCTTCAGTGGTTACGCTGCTTCTAATCTATAACGTAGGGAACGAATCCATAAGACAAACTAGCACTGCATGTCGAGGCAGGATAACTTGACTTTGAATGAGGTTTTTAGGTGCCTCTCTGTAAAACTTGAACTTACAGAGTTCAAACTTACACTGCTTGAACCTTAGAACATTAACTCAAATGAAAATTTTTAGGGGGGCTCTTCTCTCTTGGACATTCTTTACATTCTGAATACGTGAGGTTTCCTATATATGGTTTTCCAAGGTGAGTGGAGTGCGATTACATATGTATTCTCAGAGATTGCACTGGTTAACATCTAATTCCATTCATACAAGTATGAATGTGAGCACCCCCTCATTTTTCCTTCTGTGTGCCCTCCCACTCCTACCAAATACTGCCCTGTCCCCTTCTCTCCAAGTGTTCATGCTGACAGTGTATTGTGATAAAATAAAATTGGCATTTGAAGTTGGACCACCCCACTGAATTCTTTTTTTTTTTTTTTTTTTTTTTTTTTTTTTTTTACTTGATACACTTGGAAAGTCACATAGCTTCTCTGAACCTCAATCATCTAGTTAAAAAAGAATGAGGATTATTTTTAGATATTATATTCTCCTTAGGTGTTCAGGTGTTGTGAAACTTGAAAGTGATCATGCTTGAAAAAACATTTTCTAAAAATGTCATTATCCTAATGTAATATTCTGGTCCTTGTTGCTAACATTTACTGAGGTAGTCTGAGACAAACACTGAGCTGGCTTTATAGTTTTTTATCATTTAGTCTTCACAAAAAGTGTCTGAAATTATGCTAATTTATTCTCACTTTGAGACGGAAGGCCCTGATGCTGATAAAGCCTAACTATTTAGCATGAGTTCACACAGCTAATGAATACTAGAGTAAGTGTTTAAGCTCCAGACACCAGCTCTGGGTCTTCATACAATGGCAGAATTCAGGTATTTTGGCTCATGAGAGTCAGGTAAAGAGAAGAGGCAACTCAGGAGAAGAGATTATGGAAGGCTTTTCAGATCACATGCTTCTGTGTGGCTATCTCTCCACCTTTCTCTATGGGCATAGAGGCAGCCCTGGCCTCCAGTTCCCATGGCCAGCCTTCAAAGTTCTACTTGAAAAATAATTCAAACTCCCTTCCATGTAGAGGAGTTAGATTCACCTCCCTCACTGGCCATAATGAATTCCTGTGGTTGCCCATATGTAGCTAATTTTTTGGCTACATGGAAAATTTTTTGGCTGCATGGAAAAACTGCGATTTTTCCATGGTGGAGTGGGGCAAGCCAGGCTCTGACACTCATAGAAACATATCTGGTGTCTCAGTCATCCCAGCCAGCAGTTGACAATCTAATAGAAAGCTACAATCCAAACTGCTTTGAGAGCCAAAGCCACCTGTCTACATTTTCTTTGCCTGCTCATTCCCTGCAACTATGCACCTGTACAATCTCCCTATGGCCCAGGATCAAAAGGGATATTGAGTCATAATCTAATAATCTAAAAAAAAAATTCAGATATGACTGCAATCTCCTATTGGAGCTTTCCTTATAACTTATACCATGTGAGCAAAATAGGACTGCCAAAGTGTAGACTATAATCTGAGGCTGAGAGGGGCTTAACGAGGTTCAGCATCTTCTCTGACAGATAAAGTAATCAGGGTTCAGGGACTTGTCAAAGGTCACATAAGCAGGAGGTGAAACACTAATTCAAACCCAGGTCCAGCTGGAGCCAAAGCCTGGCGCTTGCCCCCTGAGCCACACCGCTTGCCCCCTGAGCCACACCACTTCTTAGACAAATCCTCACCACTCATTCCCCTGTGTCCTGGCCTGCACCACCCTACATGGTCAGAACCTCAATACCGTAAGTGACAAGACGAAAGACGCTGACTAAAATATCCCTCGAGGTCACTGTTTCCTCACCCTGACTCATGGAAATAGGAGAGACGCCCTTAAGGCATACACACCCCTGCTTCAGAAACCAGAGACTGCTGCTAGCAGCCAGCTGAGACAGCATTCCCCAGTTTCCTGCAGAAACAGTCTGTTTTTAAGCCAACATCAAATGTGCTTATTCAGGAGGACCCCTTCTCCCCATCCCTCCTTACATCCCTAAAGGGAGTTTCTATTTTCCATTAATCTTTATTCCCCAGAATTTCATTCCCAGGATTGTCCTAACCTAGGGAAGAAACTAAGGGTTGGAGTTAACATAAAAACATGTGCTTCTCATTTGATTGTCGGGAACATGAGTTGTAACCTGTCCAACTTCAACACTTGGAATAGAAGCACAGCATGTACTTGAAAATACAATTAATGCTATATTCCCATTATGTCCCTGACTGCTCAAGATCTCTGGCTCCCTACTGATTCATCAGACCCAAAATAAATGCCAGTCTGGCATTCAAGGTCTTCTGTCAGCTGTATCTCCAGGTCCTCCTATTCAAGCCTGGTTGTTCCCCCACAAAGTCCCTGGCATGTCAGGCAGGCTGTCCCTCCCTCAACATTTCTCCTTCTTGGTTCCTTGGCTCATGACCGAAACGCCCTCTCAACCTCTGTGCTCCTCCTCTAATTCCATCATTTCTTTTAAAACTCAAAAGAAAAGACTCCAAGAAGCCCTTCCCGGCCAGCTCCTATACCTACATTTCTTTTTGTTAGTACCTAGGCAGTAGACCATTTCCTGAGCACCTCCCAAGGGTCATCAAGCCCTCCTCTGACCCGAATGTACTGAGCCCTTTCTTGTCCTAGGCACTGTGCCAAATGCTCTGCCGATCACCCTATTGCTCTGCTTCCCTGATACAGAAAACCTCCTCAAAGAAGTTATTTATTCTTGTGTCTCAATTCCTGTCCTCTCACGCTCTTTTGAACCAACTTCAAAGAGACTCTTGTCCCCACTCTGCACTGAAATTGCTCTTTTCAAGGTCACTAATGATTTCTACGCTGCTAAATCCAATGGTCAATTTCCAGGGCTCTTCTTCACTGATCTCTCAGCAGCAATTTGTACAAGAATCTGACTGTATTCTATCTATCTTCTCATAATGCATAAGTTTTAAGAGAAGTTAGATAATATCCCCCCACATCTCTTCATATTTGATCTTATGAAATAAAGACTGAATAAATGTATGTACACATACACATAAAACCACTGTAACTGTGTCCACTACAACTGTAGGCTGACATAAGTGTGGCTACTCAAATAACTGGTGCTGCTGGTAGCAACGTGTTTTTTTCCCCAAGTGGTGTATAACTTTCATAAAATTCTAAACAAAGTACAATGTTCCTTTGATATAAATGGTTAAATATTAAATGTACAGCAAACTGTACTAAGGTTGTTTTATAAAGCAGAAATAGAGTCTAGGGGCTCCTGGGTAGCTCAGTTGGTTAAGCCTCTGACTTTGTCTCAGGTCATGATCTCGCAGTTCATGGGTTCAAACCCCACATCGAGCTCTGTGCTGACAGCTCAGAGCCTGGAGCCTGTTTCGGATTCTGTCTCCTTCTCTCTCTGCCCCTCCCCCACTTGTGCTCTGTCTCAATCTCTCTCTAAAATAAACATAAAAAATTTAAAATAAAGTTAATTTCTAAAAAAAAAAAGAAAGAAAGAACTATAGTTGGGACTCAAATAATTCAAATAATTATATATTTTTTTTCACTAAAGTGAATGCTTAACATTGAAAGTTGTATGGGACATGAGAGAAGTCTTTTTGTGTGACACTGTCCTGTACATTGCAGGATATCTAAAATTCCCAGCTCCTGCCTGTGAAATGACAGTAGCCCTCAATCATTATAAAAACAAAAAGTGCCCCTTACAATTTCCATAGTGCTCCTTAGTGGGTGATACCATGTAGAGAAGATGATTTTCCATGGTCTCTTGGTTTCTGCACAGCTCATGAGCAGAGATGATGGCTGACTTTATTGTGAACTATCTTTTCAGGGATGTTTGTGTAGCAAACAGATTTGAAACCTGGAGGTAGTGTCCCCTTCAGGGCCAAGGGTAGGTACGCTTACTGTGCATTACAAAGATGCTGGTTTCCTCAGCCTGGGTTCCTCTCCTGTCACACGACCTACGGCATTTGCAGGTATCTCTGGCCCTTCCACATTGTCCTGGGGAAATGAGACTCAGGGTGCTGGGGCAGGAAAAAGCAGATACTCTGCCTACTCTGACTACTGTGAGTAATATAGGTCTTTATCTATGACCCTAGAGGTTCGTATCTTCTGCCAACATCCATGATGCTGTGGTAGACTCAGTTGTTGGCTCATAAACTAGGTAAAATTCAGATACTTCACAGTTCTTGACAACCACTCCACTGACACTCACTAGAACTACACGCTCACTCCAAAATCTAGAATCTAGCCTTGACCTCTCCCTGAACTCCAGGCATTTCTAATTAATTGCCTTTAATACTTGAATATCAAACAGGCATCTCAAAGTGAAAGTGCCCCATATAAACTTCTTATCTTTCCCGCAAATCCTTTTTCTCCTGAAGCCTTTGCCAACTCAAAACTATGCAAATACATCTTTCCAGTTTTTCAGACTGAAAATCTTGGTGTCATTTTTGATGGCATTCTTGCTCTCATATTATTACACATCTAATGGTTCTCTCGATCCTTTTGAAAAAAACATGTGAAATCTGATGACTCCTCACCCTCATCACCTCTCCTCCTGGTCCATAGCACCATAACACCCCACGTGGATAACTGCCATAGTCTTAACCAGCGTCTCCCCCAGATACCTGCATGGCTCACCAGCTCACTGCTCAGGTCTCTGCTCAAACATTGCCATTATCACATCAGGCTTCAGTGATATTCTCATTTAAAATAGCAATCTCTCACAGGCCTGGCACATCCTAGTCCTTTTCCCGGTTTCATTTTCTATTTAGCCTTTACCAGCATCTAATATATAAATGCTCACTTTTAATTGTCTTTCCCCTTCCACTAAAATGTAATTATTTGTTGAATGAATGAATCAATCAATATAATCACATAAACTCACAACACACCCCTATCATTCCAAAAGTAAAAAAATGAAATAGTCTTTAGAACTGAACTGCTCATAACATGTGTGGAGGGACAGGATTAAATGCCATGGAACAACTAACAAACAACACTAGAAACTAGGAAGCCTGGGTTCAGTTGCTAGTTGTGTCACTGGCTAGCCCTGCACTACTGGGTAAGAGAATAACACTGACCCAGTTATTTCATTCACTAAACACACATTCCCCACCTATCCCATGGGTTGTGATAATTGTCATATGAAATAAGATATCCACAAGAACTTTGCAAACTGTAAAGTGCTGTGAGAATTTTGTTTTATGGTTTTTATCTTTAAAACCCTGCATTTTGGGGGCGCCTGGGTGGCGCAGTCGGTTAAGCGTCCGACTTCAGCCAGGTCACGATCTCGCGGTCCGTGAGTTCGAGCCCCGCCTCGGGCTCTGGGCTGATGGCTCGGAGCCTGGAGCCTGTTTCCGATTCTGTGTCTCCCTCTCTCTCTGCCCCTCCCCCGTTCATGCTCTGTCTCTCTCTGTCCCAAAAATAAATAAAAAACGTTGAAAAAAAATTAAAAAAACAAAAAACAAAAAACCTGCATTTTAATTCCAACTGCCATAGTCGCAGCCTGTATAATTTTGATCTCCAAGCATTCCTGCACATTCTTGTATTTTCATCTTGTCTCAAGCAGTTCTGTCTGTATTAAATGCATTTGCCCCACCCATACCATTTGCTCCAGCTCAGATCCCTTCTACAAAGGCTCCCATGGGGATCCTAAGATGGAATTTCTTTCCGATTTCCCTATATTCCATTGGAACGTTACTGTCAGGCTTTTCGGGGTATGCCTCTTATTAAAGGCGTTCCTGTTCTCTAGCAGCTCCTGGATTGCAGGCAGTGGGACGTGTTTACCTCCGTGACTCCCACAGCTCCTAACACAGGTGCAGTTACAGCACAGACTCTAATTGGTTGAATGAGCCCAACCCATCCAGGTGCAAGCCAGAAGAAATGTATTCTTTCTTACCATGGCCCCCTAAACCTGCTCTGTGGAACTGATTTTCTTTGCTCCTGGGCCAAAATCTCAGTCACTCAGATAATAAAGGTCCAGCCTGATACACTCATCAAATAATCCAGCCCAAAGAGACTCTTAAATATGGAGAACAAACAGAGGGTTACTGGAGGGATTGTGGGAGGGGGATGAGCTAAATGGGTAAGGGGCATTAAGGAATCTACCCCTGAAATCATTGTTGCACTATATGCTAACTAACTTGGATGTAAATTAAATTATCATCATCATCATCATCATCATCATCATCCAGCCCAATTCACATAAATTTTCTAAACTCTGAACTTTTGTCCAGTTCACAACTTCTCATCTCCTAGCTTGGGCTGCTTTAGGCTCAGAAGTCCGCAGAGGTGGTGGAGGTGGCTGAGGTGGCATGTGGTCAGCTACTCTCCCTTCCTCACTTCACCTCTGCCCACTCTCTAGCTGCCCTACCCGGTCTGTCCCAGGTTGGACTCAGAGAAAAAGAGATTGGGGAAAGGAGCATGGTCTTATGAGGCTGGTATATTTGTTCATGCCCTCTGCATGATCCTCTTTCCAGAGGATACCTCTGTCTTCCTCAGAGATTGTCCACTGAGCCACCTGAGTGCTGGCTAGGCTTTCTCCACATGGCCACCTGAGACTTCCCCTTTGAACCCTTTAGGTCCCTTTGCCCCTCCAGGGTGCTTTCTAGGGGAAGAACCCTTGAAGAAGCCCAGGCCTGTGACTTTCACAGGGTTCATATGCAGCCTTTGGACACCACCGCCATTGCCCTTCCGTCACTCCCTCTGTACCACTTCTCCCCACTCTGCACTAAGCAGGCACAACCCCATAAGAGCCTCTTGCCACTGGACTCCCAGGTGAGAGTCAGACATCGGCCTTCTGTCCCTCTAGGTAACACATGTCCTGCTCTCTGTGTAGCACCCTTGGAGCCCCTGTTGCATGGCCTGGAGTAAAGGGAGTGCACCTTTATCCCTCTCACTAGCCAGTGGGGATGGTGCAGAGAATGCATAGGACACTGACAG